ATGGAATCGTAAACGAGCATGGGTGCTAAGTGCCACTGCTCTTGAATTTCGTGATTGAGTTTGGTTATTACTGACAACCGAATGTTGAAGCCACCTCTGTATTTATAGTAACTAGAAGGCTTGAGAAACATTCCATTTTGAAATCCATTTGTTTTAAACTGCTTAGGCGCTGTAACATATTCACTTTCTCCTTAGTTTATTTATATTTCACGACTTTCTCTGTGTGTTATGGTTACTTGATAGATCACGGGCGCTTTCCATTTACGAAAAAAAACCGGAAATTTCGGTGGCAGCAAAAGTGGAATTTCCGATTGGTAAAACGTTGTTCCATTTGGTCGTAAACCCCGGTACGTGGCCGGGTGCCCGACCGTGGACCTGGAACTGGTACAAACTACGAGAAACGTAAATGGAACACGACATTTCGTTCGGAAATTCCAACCGGGAAAACGGGACCACCTTTATAGGTTTTCCACTTTTTCTGGGAATTTTCCAGTGGGACGAACCGACGAAACGTGTTCCATTTACCGCCGAATCGGAAATTTCGGAAATTTTGACTAAATGGAAAGCGCCCCACGTTTACATTTCTTTAGCATTTGATTTTTGGCATGTGTGTTTTGGCATACGGTATTATAACATTTGTTTTTGGCATCTTCTTTTTGGCATACATTGTCTGTTTTAAAAAGCATTTCGTCAGCACAATTCTTCTTTAACTTTTTGGCATCTCTATAGCACTCACACTTTTAAGGAAGCTATATGGTGGCCGACAACTGCCATTCGTCCAAACGACATAAATTTGTTAATTTTAGATTGGACTTTAATTCAATCACCTCTGTATTTATAGTAACTAGAAGGCTTGAGAAACATTCCACTTTGAAATTCATTTGTTTTAAACTGCTTAGGCGCTGTAACATATTCACTTTCTCCTTAGTTTCTTTATATTTCACGACTTTCTCTGTGTGTTATGGTTACTTGATACATCATGCTTACATTTCTTTAGCATTTGATTTTTGGCGTGTGTGTTTTGGCATACGGTATAGCATTTGTTTTTGGCATCTACTTTTTGGTATACATTGTCTGTTTTAAAAAGCATTTCGTCAGCATTTCTTCGGCGGGTAACTTTTTGGCATCTCTATAGCACTCACGCTTTTAAGAGAGATAGATCCTTGCCCGAAGCTGTACTTTTTCTGACCTTAGGAATATTCAAATCCAACACAGTGGAAGTATCCGATTGCATGACTTTGTTATAGAAACTTGTTATCAGCGAAGCATTTCTTTAACGCAAAGATCACTAGTACCCTCTAGAATATGCCAAACATATGCGTAAAAGGCACTTTGAACAAAAGTAATACTAAGTAAGGGAGGTAAGAGTAAAGTGTATGATTTGACTTTAATGAATAGATTAATAAGAATCGAGCGAGCGAGTGAGTGAGTGAGTGAGTGATCGGCCATTCGGAGTGGGGCGTAAGTGAGGTACGAATACCGCAATACCGCACATGGTAGCGCGAGAATACCTCAATACCGCATTAAAATTTAGCCAAATACCGAAACCGCAGTTACAAATGAGAAAAAGTTGACGTTGTCAATACTACAAATCCTCCTTTCAAATAGAAATAATACTTTATGTCAGTGTTTCCAAATCAAGGTACGTCGATGTCAAGCGTACGATAAACATAAGCTCATCGCACTCGTTTAATTTTGTTCATTACATGTATACGTTTACGTAAATGATACTACAGGAGTTTTCTATTGTTAGTTTACATATTATATACTGACCTGGATCATAAATGGACGGAAAACAGCTGACTCTTATCAGGTTGTTTCAAGTTCACAAGTAACTTGGTTCTGTGTTTAGGGTTTCAAAACGTAACGTCGACCCGGGCTTGGGATTCGAAGGGCACACAGCACACACTAGTATACAGCTATTTCGAGAAAGGTTGTCAAAAAATATGTGCCCGCGACAATCCCGAAAGGTAATATGGGATATGATCAATATACTGTTCCTGACACTGTAGCTGTCGAACCTACTTTTGTTACTTTCCTTTAGCACTCGCAAACATATATCCATGCCCTCTCGTGCCATTCTTTCAAATTCCTTTGAGGAAAAGCGAACTTAAAACCACCCACAATTCCTTTCGCGATTGTCGCGTGCACTTTTTCCGACAACCTTTCTAGAAATAGCTGTATAGACAGCGTAGCGTGGGGGTTTTATTTGGGCGCGCTAAATAATAAAGGCAGGCGCGGGCGGGTAGACTGGGGCGGGAGCGGATTCGCCGCTCACAGTCGTGCTCGCTGCCGAGAAAACCACGTAAGACTGCCATGCCCGGGGGGGGGGTACTTGGGTTAATTTTTGCTGGGTATGTGCCGCTGGCCTCTCAGAGCCCCTACCTCATTATAGTCTATTCTGTGGCCAATTATAAACCCCATCTTAGTTACTTTTGGACAAATATTTAATTTTCGCGATCCCAACTTAGTCACTTTCTATTTTTATGAATTGACCATTTTTTAAATTGAATGAAGAACACTTTACTTTTCATCCACAGTGCAAACATTCTGGTACGTTTGCTAACCGTAAATATGAAGAACTGTCTTACCACAAAAATTCAGAAAATGTGCGGCCCCATTATAGTCAATCCAGTCGTGAAAATGCGACTCCATCCAGCGGCACATCCCCATTAGTCTCTCATAATGAAGTACCCTGGAGATTAAGAACCAAGTGCATCCCTAAGGTAAAGAAACTTTTGGAGTTGTAGTGTAACTTCAGTTAATGCAATGCCTACCTCGGTTTTTGATTCACAGTGTGTCCTGATAATTCGCTTGATTTGTCACGACGAAATAGTCTACGAGGAAATGATACTTAAAAGTCACTTGCATTTTCCTTCACAAAATAACAGGACTGGTACAACACTTACCTAAAGCAACAATCAACCCTTCTACCCAGAAAAACTTGAACCTATGGGATTTTTCCCTTCCTTTAGCTGCAGTTTTACGTCAAGAAAGTGACGTAAGTGCTTCCAGAAATAGTTTCCAAAATGCAGCCATCCAGGAAAATTTGAAAACTAATAAAGCATGTGACTGGTCACATTAAATCTAATATACAGTTATTATATTTCCCTGAACGAAATAACAAAATCCTCAAGAAAAGATGTTATAACTAAACAAATGCTGTAGACTGATGTATGGTGGCCGACAACTGCCATTCGTCCAATCGACATAAATTAATTAATTAATTAGTTAATTTTAGATTGAACTTTAATTATTTTGAATTGAAAATGTAGTGAAAGTAAAACGGAAAATTATTTTCTTTTTCATTGAACTGGAAATAGATTTTCAAAACAAAACAAACATTTTTATCATGAGATGAAAATAAAAATAAAAGTGAAATAAAAGCAGAAGTAAAATTAATATGTTAACGGCCGGAAACTGCCATTCAAAACAAAAAAAAGTAAAATTAATATGTTCATGACCGGGAACTACCATTCAAAACAGAAAAAGTAAAAAAAATATGTTCATGGCCAGGAACTGCCGTTCTTTGTGTCGTTACGCAAGTAGACTAGATGAAAGGCTCCTATATTCTGGGAGAAAGCTCATGGATGAGTTGATGGGTGCTAAGTGCGACTGCTCTTGAATTTCGTGATTGAGTTTGGTTATTACTGACAACCGAATGTTGAAGATTATCACCTCTGTATTTATAGTAACTAGAAGACTGAGAAACATTCCATTTTGAAATTCATTTGTTTTAAACTGCTTGGGCGCTGTAACATATTCACTTTCTCCTTAGTTTCTTTATATTTCATGACTTTCTCCGTGTGTTATGGTTACTTGATAGATCATATTTACATTTCCTTAGCATTTGATTTTTGGCATGTGTTGGCATACGGTATTTAGCATTTATTTTTGGCATCTACTTTTTGGCATACATTGTCTGTTTTAAAAAGCATTTCGTCAGCATAATTCTTCGTTAACTTTTTGGCATCTCTATAGCACTCACACTTTTTAAGGGAGCTATATGGTGGCCGACAACTGCCATTCGTCCAAACGACATAAATTTGTTAATTTTAGATTGAACTTTAACTCAATCACCTCTGTATTTATAGTAACTAGAAGGCTTGAGAAACATTCCATTTTGAAATTCATTTGTTTTAAACTGCTTGGGCGCTGTAACATATTCACTTTCTCCTTAGTTTTTTTTTATATTTCATGACTTTCTCTGTGTGTTAGTTACTTGATAGATCATGTTTACATTTCTTTAGCATTTGATTTTTGGCATGTGTGTTTTGGCATACGGTATTTAGCATTTGTTTTTGGCATCTACTTTTTCGCATACATTGTCTGTTTTAAAAAGCATTTCGTCAGCATAATTCTTCGGTAACTTTTTGGCATCTCTATAGCACTCACTCTTTTAAGGAAGCTATATGGTGGCCGACAACTGACATTCGTCCAAACAACATAAATTTGTTAATTTAAGATTGGACTTTAATTCAATCACCTCTGTATTTATAGTAACTAAAAGGCTTGAGAAACATTCCATTTTTATATTTCATGACTTTCTCTGCGTGTTTTGGTTACTTGATAGATCATGTTTACATTTCTTTAGCATTTGATTTTCGGCATGTGTGTTTTGTACGGTGGCCCATATATGCAATGCACAAATATTTTTTTTCCACTGCACAACATACATTTATTCAGTGCACAAATGTATTTCTGAGTGCACAAATCTATTTCTCAGTGCACAAATTAATTTTTCAGTGCACTAATCTATTTCTCAGTGCACAAATCTGTTTCTCAGTGCACAAATCTATTTCTCAGTGCACAAATATATTTTTCAGTGCACAAATATAGTTTTCAGTGCACAAATGTAATTCTCAGTGCACAAAGGTATTTTCACTGAACAAATGTATTTTCAGTGCACAAATGTATTTCTCAGTGCACAAATTTATTTCTCAGTGCACAAATATATTTCTCAGTGCACAAATGTATTTCTCAGTACACAAATATATTTTTCAGTGCACAAACCTAATCACTGCTGGGTCATTGTTTATTCTTGACACCTTCAGCCATATGACTCTTCGACTGAATCCATCAATACATCCATGTATGGGGAAACCATATGTCTTCAGTTTGTCATATCCATCCGTGTGCCATGCAAAATTTGGACCAGGATTCCTGTATTCACGACGCTTTAAACGGTGTGTCTTCCTTTCTTGGCAGCCAGTGAGGTCAAGCTCCCGACAAAGCTCCTCAACCACCCTTCGTGGTACTTGAATACCCTTCAACCTGAGGGAGTGCCAGTGTGATCGATATCCACCTGAACATCCTGGTCCATTCAAGTTGTTGATTATTTCTCTACGTACTTCCTGTATATTGTTCAAAACATTTCTTCGCTTCAGCCCCATGTCATGCAATCTTTGTTGAAGAGTTCGCATACACATTTCTGTGTCATGATACTTAGATATAAACAACAAAAGCAGCTCGCACATAACATGCTATAATGGTATTCACTCCTCTGCTCACTCTGCTCACTCCTGAATAACAGTGACCCAGAGCCAGCGAAAGCCGAGACACTTTACTGTCCCTTTTCCTCCTGAGTAACAAAATCGAGTCTTGAATAGCTCGAGAGCTACAAATATGACCGCCAACACTAGAAAAAAGCGAAACTAGAAAGTAACTGACCTGTAGGAACTCACTGGAAAAACTCTGCATGTGCACTGACAAATTACACTTTTCATTGAGGCAACTTTTGTGCACTGAGATTTGACGTGCACTGAGAAAAAGATTTGTGCACTGAGAAATACATTTGTGCACTGAGAAATACATTTGTGCACTGAGAAATACATTTGTGCACTGAAAATACATTTGTTCAGTGAAAATACATTTGTGCACTGAGAATTACATTTGTGCACTGAAAAATATATTTGTGCACTGAGAAATAGATTTGTGCACTGAGAAATACATTTGTGCACTGAGAAATAGATTTGTGCACTGAAAAATAGATTTGTGCACTCAGAAATACATTTGTGCACTAAATAAATGTATGTTGTGCACTGGAAAAAAATATTTGTGCATTGCATATATGGGCCACCATAGTTTTGGCATACGGTATATAGCATTTGTTTTTTGGCATACATTGCCTGTTTTAAAAAGCATTTCAGCGTCAGCATTTCTTCGGCAGGTAACTTTTTGGCATCTCTATAGCACTCACGCTTTTAAGAGAGCTAGATCCTTGCCCAGTCGAAGCTGTACTTTTTCTGACCTTAGGAATATTTAAACCAACCCAGTGGAAGTATCCGATTGCATGACTTTGTTATAGAAACTTGTTATCAGCGAAGCATTTCTTTAAAGCAAAGATCACTAGTACCCTCTAGAATATGGCAAACATATGCGTAAAAGGCACTTCGAACAAAACTAATACTAAGTAAGGTAGGTAAGAGCAAAGTGTATAATTTGACTTTAATGAATAGATTAATAAGAATCGAGTGAGCGAGTGAGTGAGTGAGTGATAGAGTGCCATTCGGAGTAGGGCGTAAGTGAGGTACGAATACCGCAATACCGCATTAAAATTTAGCCAAATACCGAAACCGCAGTTACAAATGAGAAAAAGTTGACGTTGTCAATACTACAAATCCTCCTTTCAAATAGAAATAATACTTTATGTCAGTGTTTCCAAATCAAGGTACGTCGATGTCAAGCGTACGATAAACATAAGCTCATCGCACTCGTTTAATTTTGTTCATTACATGTATACGTTTACATGTAGGTAACTGATACAACAGGAGTTTTCTAGTATTAGTTTACATATTATATACTGACCTGAATCATAAATGGACGGAAAACTCCTATCAGGTTGTTTCAAGTTCACAATTAACTTGGTTCTGTGTTTAGGGTTTCAAAACGTAACGTCGACCCGGGCTTGGGATTCGAAGGGCACACAGCACACACTAGTATATAGCCAGCGTAGCATGGCGGTTTTAGTTGGGCGCGCCAAATAATAAAGGCAGGCGGAGGCGAGGAGATTGGGGCGGGAGCTGCTTCGCCGCTCACAGTCGTGCTCGCTGCCGACAAAACCACGTAAAACTGCCATGCCCGGGGGGGGGGGGGGTACTTGGGTTAATTTTTGCTGCGTATGTGCCGCTGGCCTCTCGGAGCCCCTACCTCATTATAGCCTATTCTGTGGCCAATTATAAACCCCATCTTAGTTACTTTTGGACAAATATTTAATTTTCGCGATCCCAACTTAGTCACTTTCTATTTTTATGAATTGACCATTTTTTAAATTGAATGAAGAACACTTTACTTTTCATCTACAGTACAAACATTCTGGTACGTTTGCTAACCGTAAATATGAAGAGAGAGAACTGTCTTACCCCCAAAATTTAGAAAATGTGCGGCCCCATTATAGTCAATCCAATCGTGAAAATGCGACTCCATCCAGCGGCACATCCCCATTAGCCTCTTGTAACGAAGTACCCTCCCCCCGGACTGCCATGCTACGTAGGCTAAGCACACACGAATACTAGTACATTCTACAATCCTGCATGTACAACGAGAAGGACGAGTAGTAGTTTTTAAACAACACCATTCATGGATTATCTTTCGATACTACGCAATTTATAACTACCTCCGACCTCACTATTTGCTGGAATATCTGACTGCTCACTTAGTTGACCCTCTCGATCGCTCGCCATTGGTTTGCGACTGGCACGAAAGTGGCGGTGATATTGGTAAGGCCGGGTTAATCAAGCTCACTATTCCCACAAGGTATATGAGGTCATACATAATAGGGACCTTAAGCATTGACGACGAATGGGACGACGACGACCTACCGGAAGTGGCCGAGGCGACTTGAACGCTACTGCACATGCTCGCGCTCGTCGTCCACATGCTGCCGAGAACGTGAAAACCCGTGAATTGGTGTCCAGCAGTGATCGCGAGTAAACGTACTCGTATTTTTAACCCCTAAATCCACTTTCCTGAAAGAAATTTCATCTCAATTGCGTATTCGAGTTTCAAAGTATTTGTTCTTTGTATTTTTGTCCTAAAAACACCAGAAAATCGAAAGATATAGGTCTTCGTTACCAAGCACCACCGAGTCGCATTGAAACTTTCTTGTTTGTGTTTTCCAGCTTTACGTGAAGCAAAAAGGTTTACAGACAAAAAAGATGCTAAATCATAACGTGTTCCACCCTTTTTTTCTTTAAGAACTGTAGTGATTTGTCTCCAAACATTAGTAACCTTTGGTTCTATTTTTCTTTGCAAAGGAGATGGAGTGGTCAGACAAACATGATTTGGTGGTGTTTGTTACGGAACCCTACCAACATCCGTATAGAAGCAAGGAAAGGGGAGATGTATGGAACCAGATAGCTGTAAACCTGAATGGACTTGATCATCCGAAATTCAAAGTTAGTAAAAGATCCATAACAGACAGACTGACCTTGCTGATTACCAAGCATAAAGCGAAAATGCGCCAAGAGGAAAATACCCGCTGGTATCACTTTCGAAGAGACCGAACTAGTCTAAGCTCTCGAAAAGACAGGACGCTGTGGGAGCGTAAATTTGGGCGTGGTTGTACTGCCGGTATGATACTTACACAACATACCCTATTGAAGCTAAACAGCTGTCATCATATCTTACCAGAGAAGATAAATCCTTTACTCTACTTGTTTGCTGAACCACATAGCTCATACAGTATGTCCCAATCGACAACAAAAATCGTGTCATTTCATGACAATGTTTGAAAATAAGCACATCTTCGATGCAGACGTGCTTGGAGCTAAATTGCAACACAGGACATAAGTGGTTACAGTCGGGAGAGTAAGGTTTATCTCAGCTCCACTGATACTGAAACTTTGAGAAAGATTGACTGGCAGATGTGTTTTCACGCCCGTCACATTGTACAGTGTATTCCGCTTACTAACAAGGGCAAATAAAGTTCCTTAAGTCCAGTATCCACAAGGATTAATAAGAGAGTAACACATTAGATAAACTGGTATAGGGCAGCACTGCTTACAGGAACACTGATAACTATTAACATTTGATATACTACAATGTTCAACATTGCTTGAGAAAAGATGAGGTTCAAAGGTGGCAATATGTACACCTTTAAGTTTATATATATCCTCATTCCTACATTCCTATGTAGAGTCTGAAAATATTGTACTAATTTATGCATGGATGGTACAGTCGAACCCCGCTATTTCGAAGTCCCAAGGGAAATGGAAAAAGTTCGAAATAGCGGGGTTTCGTAAAATTCATAACAATGAATCATTTTTTAATAAAATACAGTACAGTATGAAGAAAGGCACTGATTAAATAAAAATACAATGTCGAATGATCAGAATAGAGACAGCAGAGTTCATACATGAGTATTTCAGCCGGAAGAACAGTTCACTAACAGTGCGTTTTGGTTTTGTAATTGAATAACGCAGCTGGAATTTCTTAGCGGGATTAATTACGTATCACGAGCTTAAATAAAATGCAATATTTTTCCAGCTGTGCTCTTATGTTCGTACTCTGTTTTTGACAAGTTCGAAATAATGGGGTTGATTTAAGGTGTAGGGAAAGAACAATGAGTTCGAAATAGCGGGGAATTCGAAATAACCGAGTTCGAAATAGCTGATAGTAAATGACTGAAAACATAAGGGTAAATCCAAGGGAATTCGATCTTCCTTCGAAATAGCGGGGACTTCGAGTTAACCGAGTTCGAAATAGCGGGGTTCGACTGTATTTCCAACAATACACATGTCCCTTCGCTATGACTGTTGTGATACATATCTCTAGCATGAGAATCAAATACATGATATCGCCCAGCCTCAATGCTGTAGATACCAACACCAATAATTGCCACCGTTAAAATGAATGAGTTGTAGTTCAGTGCCAAGAGTGTTTCAAATGTTGTACCCTGTGAGTGGCATATATAGTGGTGATACCCCTCAATTCCGGGATCACCATGGATGTTACAAGTATAACTGTCACTGTATTCAAGGTGGAAAAACTGCTCACTCTAAACATTTCTGGCAATTCTGTTAACATTAACATAGATTGCCTTGCAAGCAGTGACAGACTAGAATATAACTGAATACAAACAATCATTATTTGAATCATATCATTAACTGAAGTAATCTTTGTTATCTTACTGTAAATTAAAACGCACAGACTCATTGCGACACATTGTTGTCCAGCATTTTCCCCAAATACTGTAACGTTTCCTTGACAGTATGGAGCATGAATTGTTTTTGTAGCATCTTCATAATCTGAAGGTCCTGGATTCTTCTCGATATCAGTACAAAGCTTAAATTGGCCAAAATTCACCCGGTGATTCAAACTGTTGTAAGCACTACAAAATTGATAATGGCATGTACAGAGGGGAAAATTCTTACTTAAAAGCCTATTTGGAAATCTCATTCCACATGAATCGCCTGTGCTTTGGTGCTTAGACGACAGATACACCTTCCGTCGTTTACGAACTACTTTTGGAGTTGCCCTTAAGTAAAAACGTCACACTCTTACAGTTACTTCTGTACCTGTTTATGTGTAAACCTTTTCTATTTTTACCGTAACAATGAATTTCAGACGACAATGGTGTATTTTTCCGAATACTCTTCCATACAAAAAGTGTCACTTTCCGTGTTTTCTGTAACAAATATTTTAATTTGTTCATCGGTAGTCTGCTAGGTGCCTATGACTGCGATGAGAGAAATGACTAACCTGATTTCAACCAATGGAATTGTAAGTTCTGTTATAAATAAATTTCTTACGACGATATCTCAATTCAACTTCTTTTATTTCCTCCACAAGGCAATTTTCCTTCTGTACAACTAGCTCATTTCCTTCTCTTGTCGTCACCTCGCTGCCATCAAAACACTCCAACACAAAACTTGCTGATAATGCAAAATCCCGACGCACAACATCGTACATGTACCGCGTCACAATATATACAATTAGATCTAAAAACACAACACGCAATACAAGAACAAGTACATTAACCGTCACCCTGCTAAACAACATTGAAATAATAAAAAGAATTGTTGCAGTTATCACAGTAGTTCCAAAAGAAGCCTCAGTCCCGTTTGGATTCATTTGCTGACAATAGCAATCGTCTGTTCCTTCATCGGAACAGATTTTTATCACAGGCAACTCGTTGTGTTCCTCAATGCAAAAATCAAAATCACTATTGTCACACTGATAACCAGCTACATAAATCTTGCGACTCTCAAACTTGTTAAACATTCCTCTGTTCAAGCTCTTATATCCATTTTACACGTACACTCCTGATATTCCGATTTGTCATTGCGTCTATGGGGTCCATGAGTCTTCAATGTCATTGAATGTCTTGATAATTTCCCTTGTTTTTCTTTGAGGTCGCGGACCAGCCCATTCCGAAAACATTCAGTGTTATTTTTTAGTGTGGGCCTACCGCGAACAGTGTGTGCATTTGTAAGTTTAACCCGGGATAACATAACTGAACAATATATTAGTACGTTCCTCGAAACGCTGCGGCCAAATGTTATCCAAACTACTTCTTACTGCTGCTTCGAAAAATTTCGGTTCAAACGATATCCAAATCGTCCCTCATTGGATTATCCACTCGACCTAACAAAATCGACCAATCACAAAATAAGGAAAAGAAAATAGACATAAAATAAAGAAAACAGCAAATTCAGATAACCTCTTAGGAAACATGAAATTAAAACTGGCTTTCTATGATTGGTGCATTTCGATCCTCTCGTCAAAAAATGTCAGACGCCAATCATCTTAGCGGACCTCTCAGGAAACGAAAGTTTACTTCAACGGTTCAAAAGGTCAGTGTTTGTGATTTGTGATTGGTGGATTTCGATCCTTTTTGTGAGTTTCTGTGTTTCAAGTTTCGTTGATTGTGATCTTATTGCGACCAAAACCCGACGTTAATATTCCAAATATTTTTGATAGAGACTTCCAAATTTCGATGAGGCAAAAATACTGAAGATTCAGATAAACTTTTGAGATCGTAAAAGTGCGATAAAGTGCCGTGTGCTAGCAGAGCTTCCTTTTCCACATGCCTTTTACCTTGTACAAGACGTTTGCATGTCAGACATTCGCCTCGCTTCGCTTGTTTACTTGCCTTGTTTACGTTAGCACGCATTGCGTGCCTCTTGCACATTTGCGTCAAAACAAGCCGTTTCCATTACTCTGTTTGGGCCACGCCCAAATAATAATTGACAGGAGAAGTTGGCCGACGAAAAAAGCTTGGAGTTAAAGAAAAAAGAAAATGAAGAAGGAGCAGGTCGAGAGGAACACAGGCAAAGCGCTGTGGAACTTTTAGGGCAGACCGTGAAAAAACATTTTGGACACTCCGATCATTCGCATTTCCTTTGTTTACGTGGGAAACTCGTCGTCCACAGCAAGCGAGCGCTTGACTCTCGAATTTTTCCGCCGTGAACGACGTTCTCGACCCAGTCCTTTCAGGGTGCAGTTCGTCGTCGCCGTCTCTTTCGTCGTCGATGCGTAAGGTCTCTAATGCGACATGTTTACGCATCATTGGATAAAAAAGTTAATGTCGTTAATCATATCAAGTATTAACTGAAATTACAAGCCATACGATCTGTCTGGACTGTTTGCACATACGATCCCCGACTGCGCAACTATAGGAAGCCGAAGACACGCAGTTCACGCAGGCTAGCTAGGGATTAAAGCTAGGGAGACCTTTTAGGATTTGTATCCTCTTGTCGTGAAAAAGAAGCAGATCACCGCGACACAACGATCTTCTCAACGACTACCGCGACATAAAATTTCAACTTACCGCACACCGCTTGGACTCTGAAAACCGCAATACCGTACTTTGAAATAAAAATTACCGCAACACCTCACCAAAAGTAACCGAATACCGAAAACCCTTACGTCCCCCTCCATTCGAGTGCCTCCAAAAGCCCATGGTATTACTACGTCATCCATGAGCTAAAAAACCTTTGTTGCTTTGGCAAACCGACTATTAAGGCAACCTCGTTCTCAGGGTTCTCTCCTACGGAGAGAGAACCTGAGAAGGAGTTTAGCCTGTCAACACTTGACTAAACGAGGCGCTCATTGGTCCGAGCAGACTAAAGCGCAAAACAATGGGAAAAGAATGTATGACAGTTTAAGGCGCATAGGGGCGGGGAGCATTGCGTGACCCCGGCCCGAGTGGCTGCGAGGAAGACTATTGTCTCCCGCCAAAAGTCTCAGGTTTCTTTCTTTTTTTTTTGAACGGCAGTTCCCGGCCATGAACATATTAATTCTACTTTTTCCGTTTTGAATGGCAGTTCCCGGCCATGAACATATTAATTCTACTTTTTCTGTTTTGATTGGCAGTTCCCGGCCGTGAACAAATTAGTTTTACTTCTGTTTTCATTTCACTTTTATTTATATTTTCATTTCATAATAAAAATGTTTTGTTTTGTTTTGAAAATTGACAAAATGAATCTATTTCCAGTTCAATGAAAAACAAAATAATTTGACGTTGTACTTTCGCTTTATTTTCAATGCAAAATAATTAAAGTTCAACTAAAATTAATAAATTTATGTCGTTTTGACGAAGTTGTCGGCCACCATAGTGGCCGCTAACATTTCTCATTTTGTCACCGCTGCTACAAAATTTTCAAGTTGTTCTTCCAACAAAAAACGTCTCCTTTGTGTTTGATCTCTCGCTCTAGATCACTATCGGCCTTTTTCTAGTTGAGCTTCGCTGGCCTGCCGCTTTTCTCTTTTCTCTGTCTTTCTCCTACTCTATATTCCAAATTTGTGGACATGACAAATAATCTAAGCTTAATACTTTAGACAACACGGGTATATAAAAAATTTCCGCCTTCCGTTTTCGTCTTCATTGACTCTTTAGTTGTCTCTGCTTTACAAGACGCCAGTGGCTATGCGATTTCCCGCCAAAATGACCTCGAGTTGCATTTGGGTTGCCATACTTGTTGATTGAGTTATTTTACATTGGTATGCCTGTGGTGCGGGCGGACGGTCGGGCGGGTGGGCGTACGGTAACGTGATTACCAAATTTTCTCGGATGGGTAGATTACTTCATTTTCTTAACCCATGGTGCTCCGCTGTGCGCGCTTCGCGCGCGAGAGCTCCGCTATTAAAACTAACTAAAAATATATGAAAATATCGAATTAAAACACGGATATACAAGGTATCCGTAAATGACCCCTCACGTACTTACTTACACTAAACCTATTACTAAAAATTATTAAAACTAAAAGAAATTGTATATGTTTCATTTAAATTAGTAAAAAAAGAGAGTAAATTTGTATACACCTCCCGATCCCTTTAATACCAACAGAGGATAAAGGGGACAGAGAAGGCATCCCCCATACACATCCTATTCCATAGGTAATTCGTCTCGAGTTATTTTTAGAATCGGGATAAAGTTACCTCGCGCGCAGCGTGGATGTTTCGTGGAGGTTTCGCATGACTCAACGCCGTGCAAAACATGTCGGGCGAAAGGCAATGAAAGCGTAAAGAGATTGAGAGCATTTCCGAATATTGAAGCGAAATGAGTCGGCGCTCACCTGGGAAAAGGGAATAGCTAGACTCTTTGACAACCCGTGAAATCAGTTTAACTCGTAGTTGTCGTAACCTCAGTGCTTTAATAAAATGAGAAATTTCGCCGGTCTATTGAAACCGGTCGTTTGTACAACAAAGCAAGTAGGACGCCAAGTGTTATTTTTGTTGAATAATAAAAGACTAATACTGTGAAGAATAAATATCAAACCGGAAATTGCTCTCTTCAAACTGTAAATTATAAATGATCCTGAGAGAATATTCAGTGTGTTAAGGATTTCCCTGCTGTACTGTTAACTCTATACAAGAGAGGAAGGGCGATTCTTTTTTAATTTCCGTTTCGCTGACACAGCTTTAGCAGAAATCTCTCTGTAGTCGTTTTCGTCGACAAAACGAATAGCAATATCGGTCTCCGCGTCTTCCGCCATTTTGTTCTGCGTCAATTCGTGAAGGACGCGTGGCTCTGAGCGTGGGTCATCCACGCGGAACACATTCGCGCTATGTGATTGGCTATTGTCTCATCCCCCTTTGGGATCTGTGGTCTTAAAAATAACTCGAGAGGAATTACCTATGGAATAGGGTGTGTATGGGGGATGCCTTCTCTGTCCCCTTTATCCTCTCTTGTTTAATACCCCTTTTGGCGCATGCAATGCAAACTAGACAAATTCTCGCTTTTCGTGCTCATCAGAGAGTGCACAGCGGCCACTAGGAGTTTTTCTCTCCCCCGCCACCCCCGGGGGAAAACGAATTAATGTTTCTGTTTGATCAACATCGATATCTTAAAAAACCGGAGAAGGAGATGTGTGACAGGGATGGGTTCTAGCGATGCTTTAAAGCTTAATGCTGCTTTTAAGTATTGCTTGGTAGCCAGTACCGCGGCGCGCTGGCTTCACTGTAAGCAGTTCCCCAGATAAATGTAGCCCCAAATCACTGAAAGATTCCACTAGTTCTAATCAAATGTCGCCATCGCCCAAAAGCACCGTATTAACTTTCGACGTTGGTTTTGTGCTGGATGCAGCGCCTAAGAGTCAGGAAGATCATGTCCCATGTTTCTTCTTTCTGATGAAGAATTTAAGCTCCAACCCCCTTCTGAGATGTGTTTGTTCACTCAGAGATTTGAAGTTTTCTGTGATCTGGAGGCAATATAGTTCCCAGTCTCTTAACGGCCACCTCCCTACAATGGACTTCTGGAAGGAGACCCCGCTTTAACCTCGTTCCCAGGGCTTTTCCCTGAGAAAACTGGGAGTGGGGGGAGGGAAATGCTTTGCTTCAGTCCTTTTATTTGACTCTCTATTTAGGTAGTTACTTCTCTGACACAGACACAAAAGGTGTCCGTCTTACACGGAGTTGACTGTGCTTCAGTCGAACCCCCAGGGTATCTTCAGGGAACAGGTTTGACACATTTCCCCGCTCATTATTTCATCAGTGGTTGTGAAGAGTCAGTATATAACTATATTATGCGCCAGACGGATTCTTCTATTCAATGACTACCAATACGCTTAACACTTCTAAAAACCTACTTTTCATTTGCTAGAAAAAGAAGTTGAATTTAGAGTCAGTACATCTTTAATAATTGAATATCATATTGTTTAAACGTCGAGGTTTCCTTTCACAGAATGAAAAGTCCCGGGGGATACTTTATAGTTTCTATAATTTCTATAATGGGAAGACTCGCCCCTTTTTCAGGCTTCAGGTATATGAAAGAGTAGGGAAATCCGTCATTTCGGTCTGTAAAAAGGCCCAAAACTGATAACAGAAGCATTTTATGGCTAAAATGCTGTGGAAAATTCTAGAACACGATCTGGTTTTCTTATTTGTTCATATTTTAAAGACAGTGCAGTTACAGCGGTTGTTTTTCACTTTGCTCGGTTTCCTATGTTCTTTAGCAAGGGAATATATTTACATAACCCCTCATTATTATTCACTGCCTGAAAAGTTGTGGCGGCTTTGATTGTGTGGGCTGAAGAGAGAATAGCTGATAACAATAACAAAACAATGCAATATATATTTCCCTTGCTCATCTTTCCCTCGTCACATTCCCCTGCTTATATTCCCCTCAGTATGTTTAACCATCCCAGTTAGAATTTTGTATTTCCATTTAATGTGCTTACCACATTTTCTTGGACTTCATTTCCTTCGTCGGCAACTGTCATAGCGCAATGTCCCTCAAACTAGAAATTTGCATCACCTGCCGCGTTACTTTTAAACGAATTTGACATAACGTCTCCAACGTTTATCTGTGAACGTCATTGCTTGCAATGTGACTCGTTAGACGACTGACACAAACTTCTATCGCGGTGGAAGGTCCAAAAGAGTTTCCAAAACTGCTCTGCCTTAACGTTTAGAATACATGTGCTTCTTCCTCTGAGTTACACATCTCACTGGTAAAACTACAGTGGAATCTCTCGTAAGCGTGACACCCTCGGGACGCAAAAGAGGTGTCCGTAACCAAAGCTGACCGCTTACGGGAATGTAAAAATACAGAGTTTGTATGGGAGTTGAAATATTGGCCGTAAGTAGAGTTTTCCGCACACGAGAGTATCCGTTAAGAGAGCCTCCACTGTACTGTTTGACTACTCCACACGAATTGACCAATTTCCATATTTTAGAATTCAACCTCAAACAATTCGAGTCTTTTGGGAATAAGCATCTCTAGAGTATAAGCACGTTATTTACCTGTCCCTCGAGGGTATGTGATGTTTATCGAGCTGGAGCCGCCCCAAGGGTACCAGATGAAATTATCACATACCCCTTCGTTCCAGGTAAATAACCCCCACTTTAGGTCTGTTTACATTGAGTTGGGGGACCCCAGGTAGGTGAGGTAACCCGCTTAGGTGGGGTAACCCGCCTGTCCATATATTACATGTATCTCGTTTTAATTTTATCACGTTTACATGATAGGTGGGGTGACCTGCCACTTGTTACCCCGCCTGTCTGGGGTTCCCAAAGTCTATGTAAACAAGCCCTTAAAGGGGATGGAAAGAGCTTAACCTGCTATGTTAAAGGGATACCTTTACTGTCACAAATGACATATAAAAAGGGAAGGAGTTAGACCGTGGAGCGGAGCCTACCCGTAAAACGTTTTTCCAGTACCCCCACGGAGAAAAGCCGTTAGCATGCTGTTCTATGCACATAAAATTATAACTGTAGCTCTTCTTTTGTAAGTAAGAGATACGATAATTACTTATATTATAATGTATATTATTTTAGTAAAATCCAACTAGTGGTCTATTATCAATGCTGAGTTCTGATTGGTTGAGCTACTTCTAAGCCATGTTATAGCCCACTGGTAGCGAAAAGCGCCGGCTTTGAAAACCAAAACAATGGCGGCTGAATCGCGTTTTACTAGCTAAAGTTGTTTTGTCTCGATATTTTTTACCAACTACTTGGATTTTACTAAAACAATTATTCCTCTCGCCCTCATGGCCCCGCCCTCAATAGCCCATTCGGCCTTCGGCCTCATGGGCTATTGACTAAGAGCTCATTGGGGCTCGAGGAATAATTGTTAAATATTTCTTAGTTAGTAAGTGCGCTGTGATTGGTCAATTTTGCGGGCGGTATTCTACTGTACGGCCCGCTAAATTTTAAAGTTTCCTTACCGCGCGCCAAATTAACCTCAGAGATATAATAAATATTTTACTAACCTCGTTTCTCTCGGTCCGTACTGTAAGTTACGGACCCTCGGTTTTTGGTCCGTAACTTACGGTACGGACCTCGAACTCGGTTAGTAAGAGGTATTTATTACTTACATGCAGTGTCCTGTAGAATAAAAGAATCATGAAAATAAATTATGAATTAAGGTGGCCCGAACCTTTTTATATGTGTGATGGTAATTTTTTTAAATCGCGTTTTACAGCAGGAATCATTTGACTGACGAAAGCCGAATTTAATAATTGTTTTATTATTCATTCAAAATAATTCCTAGTTTAAAGACTTAGCTAAAACATGCTTATCGATGTCAAGTTCATCTTCGATAGTGCACGTTTAGGGTTGTTCAGCTCCGCAAATATTCTCCAAATAGCAGATGTCGCCCTTCGAGTTGTCTTCCTACTGTTCTTGCCATGTTTTTAGCTATTATTTCGCCTAGTTCTTACTCTTGAAACGAGTGAAATGTACGCCATTTTTGTTTTCACAACCAAAACAACTCAACCTCGTCCCCAGGTCTTCTCGGTTAACGGTGCATTAACCTGCAAGGAAGCTGCACTTTTGACGTCATCGCTTCTTTAATCGCAAAATTCTCCCAAGTTTGGTCATCAATAGCTGGTTATGGTGAATTATGCGAGGGCTTTTAGCGAATTAGAATCGGGGAAATATTTTGAATGAGTAATAAACATTTTCTTGTAGACATAATAACGTATAAGATATCGGCATTTATTTAAAACCACATTTTTAGAAAAAACGTAAGTAACCGTTGGAAATCTTAAGACAGCTTTTCCCCTAACTTCAGTAAATAAGTCTCAGAGCTCTCTAACTTTATATATGAAAGTGTGAAGCCAAGTTGTGAAGGGATAGGTGACTGAGTTACCAAATACCGAAACCTTCTAGGGACCTACTAGGCTCCACAGGTAAATGGTAAAGCTAACTAGCCGAGCTAACTAAAGTGGAGAAACTGAATTAAGTAGTTGAATGTATTCATACCAGCAAGCAAACAAATAAACCGTGTGACAGAAAAACGGGTAACAGTTAAGGCCAAAGTTTAATATATGAAAGGTGTCGACAAGAGAAATCAGAAAACTTGATGGTAAAAACAACGTCGGAAACGCGAGTAAGCCTGGGCTATGAAAATCTACGCATATCAAAAAGCCAGACGAGTAAATGTAAAACTACAATATAGTGATTTAAAGTAACTGAACAAGGAAGTTGACTTCAGCATTAAAATTGAAACCTTCCTAGAAACTAAACTTAAACCGACTGGCCAAAAAAGTTAAAAACTACAACGGTGTAAATAATAACACTGTAAAAACTATTTTGAAAAACTATGTTGAAAAGCTATATTAACTCTATTACCGTAAAGTTTCCAAAGTAAAGATCGCGTCCCCCCGAAAGTAGCGATAAAATTTCACAGGTGTCGGCTAATGCCAAAAGTAGCGATCCCCCGAAAGTAGCCACTTCAAAAGTGATTTTCCCTTCTTGCTAGAAATAACGGAAATTGTAGTGGTTATAACAAGCTTTACCAACCTGATCCGAGATTTTTTTTTAACAGTTATAATGATCTTTGACATTCCTTTATGTAACTCAAAAGGTACATTGCCTCTTTTTTTTCTTTTTTTTTTTTTGAAGTCTTTCTTTCGTTTGTACCCACACGGTAAGAATTCTTTTGATTAGTTATTTAAAAAGCAATAACATGAGATACGTTTCTCCAAATAGGAAGTGTGGATGTTTTCACAATGGTCGAGATCTCATTACCATAACTTCTTCGTACGGCCTCTTTTTGATACACGTTTAAGCTACCCGAAAGTAGCCACCGCCTAACAGTAGCGATAGGTAAAGGCTGCTATAATATCCGAAAGAAACGAGGGTCGTTACTTTTGGAGCTTTACGGTAACTGCTTTATTAAAAATAACTATATTAAATTAACACGTTAAAAAATGTGTCAGTCACATATGGTATAGTTACAATGAAAATAGCCGAAATTGACTACTGACTCGTGATATTCCACAGGTGACTATATAAAACAAGTTTCAAGTGCATCCGACTGATCGCAGACTTCGAAAAGCTTCAACTTATAATTCATTAGCCTATTCTTGGGAGGAAAGCTCCACCTCGTAATTGTGACACAAAGAACTGAGTTCAACTTCAGATAAATAGGACCTGTTTCGCTGTATTCTTCATCGCACCTATACAGTAAAAACAACAACACAAACAGCAAAAGCAACGTTAGCAAGCTAAGAAAACAAAAGGATAGTGATTTTAGCTAGCGAGGAATAACATTTTGACAACCGACCTCTAAGAGTGCGGGCGCTCGATTTATCGCATTCCGGAATAACAATACGCATAATTTTGTAACAAACCTCTTCTATATACCGTAATTTCTGAACCATTTAAAGTGTATATAGATCAGAATACTTTATTTCAATCATTTTTGTAGATATTGCAATTCCATGAAAGCCAAAGCGAGTGATTTCTAGCGAGTTTCTTCAATTTATTCTTATTTGGGACACGGAATACCGTGAATCGAACACGCCTATAAATCTGTTAGAGCAAAGAGTCACATTTAAACTGGTAACTTCAACCTACAATTAGACTTATTGTAGATTTAAAGAAACTTGCATACCATAAATCCTCTATTAAACTTTTAAGGGAAAGAAAGTTATTAAACCCTCCTCTCTCTCTCTCTCTCTCATTCCAGTCCCTTCTCCCTATTGTTATATAACAGACGCCTGATCGATGTATTAATTTGTCATGACCGTAACACTTCATGTGGACTGATCATCCGGTATGGTTTACAATGAAGGATCTAGGGAAAGGGCATGCTCCCCTGCTTATTTTTAGCCAAACTGAGGCCCAAAAGGCCAAAAACAAATTTTTCAAGACTCCGCCCCCTTATCGGAAGATCTGTATGCGTCACTGGTTTAATCACGAGCTTTTCCACTTAGTTTTCTTGTTCTTTATGATGAAATAATACAACAATATTCGTTTAATAAAATAAGCCCCTCTCTTAAACGTTCATGAAATGAATAAAACCCAGGAAGGATTAACCGAGGATTTACCTTATCTGGAGACTTCCCTAAGCGACCAGAAATTAGATCTTCGCATTTTGGAATTGGGTTTTAGCTTCGTCAGGTTCGAAGGTAAGTTTCAATGGAACGAACTCCAAATGTAAAGAAATCATGGGACGTGGAACAAATTTTGTAATGTTTAACTGCCAAACAAACTACCGAAGTCAGACTCCTTTGTTGCTGTTAAATTGACTTGTGAAAGGCATATTGACGTTAAGTAGCAACGCTTGGGTTCGTTGCCCTATAAAGCGACAAAAATAATTGTATGTAAAAATAACCTTTGCAAATGCAGGGATGATCCCAGGATTAAATATATCCCAAAATACCTTGCTATTTAATCGATGCCTTCAAACTCAAGCGTTACGTCATCACCAATGAGAACAAACGGTGCCCAGTACTTCACTGCACTAAAGCGGTCAGATTCTCTCATGGATTTCATGGCTTTATTCAGGGCCTCACTGGCACTCCGTCCATGAACTAGGTGTTGGTAGAAAACTTTCATGAACTCCAAAGTAGCTTCGTCGTTGATCGCCCACAGGGACACCAGAACAGAGCGAGCACCAGCACCCAAAAATGCCCGTGCGATGCCGACCACACCCTCAGCTTTGACTTCGCCCCGCGCACTGTGACAGCAACTGAGTACAACAAGTCTTGCCCTAATCTGCGCCTTTAAAACATCTTTCATGGTTAAGAGATAGTCTTCTTTGACTAAAATCTGGGTTGAACGCATTGTGTTTGGGGCCAAGGCAATTTCCCCTGTTTCCATTTTACCGTGGGCAGCAATATGCACCAAAGCAACCGAGGAGATACGTCTTAAAACTTCATCTTTTGTTGCCTGCATTCCAACGAGAGGTACAGCTTGAAGTATTTCCCCAATCATCTGCACTTCCCTCTTGGCCCAAATTAACTGATCAAGCGGCTTTCCTTCATAAACCACCTCCTGTACCCACGGATCGCCAACAAGAAGAGCACCAGTCTTACTGTGCCAATCTGTTGAACAATTTTGGATTAATCGAAGACTAGAAAGTGAAGGAAGCAAACGAATTCTGAAAGTTTCACAGAGGTACTTTGAATTCGAGTCCATGAAAGCAGCATAAGGCGCCAAACACAGAGGTCCTTGTGGAACGACCAGAATCTCATCGCCATGGAGTAAGTCTCTTATAGGGTCTATAACAACATTGTACAGTGCTTGCAATGAATTCGACTCAAAATGCGAGGAATGGGACTCTGTCTTACTGGATCTTTCTTTCGCTACCTTTTCGTCTTTTGGGTTTCGTAATGAGCGATCTTCACAATTAACATCAGCTCTCACACCTATTTCGTCATGTGTGGTCTCTAAGAGAGACTGAAAATAGGTCGTAACGGGGACATTGATCAGACTTCTCCTGGATTTAATTTCTGCTCCTTTCTCGTTCACCCAGGAAACTATTCCATCTTTGTTGAACCCAATGACAACTGTATTTGATGGTAGGAAACTCAGAATATCAGAAGTATTTGCCGATAGTGTTCCCATTTCAGGAGGTAACCCTTTAAATCCATACTTGACTTCTAGAAGATCATTTAAAGCTTCTGCACGGCCTTGATCAGCCGTTAAAAGCGCTTCCACGACTCTGCCTTGCTTAAGCAGTATTTGCCACAGCTCCGACTTAACATCAAAATACGTATTGCGTAGGCTTATCTTCCACTTGTCCTTAAATATGAGCTTACTCCTGATATGGTCGAACGCTTTAACACTGTTCTTGTAATAGTAAATGGCTTTCTGAAAATCTTCAAGACCTTCATAGACGTTGCCAAGACGGCCGTACGCTACTCCCTCTCCAGCCCTGTCTCCTACTTCTGTGGCAAATTTCAAGTCTCGTTCAGAATACTCTATGGCTTTATGGGAATCTCCAAGACTGTAATAGGCGTTGCCAAGATTACCGTACGCTCTTCCTTCTCCTGCCCTGTCTCCCACTTCTATGGCAATTTCAAGGTTTCGTTCATGGTAGTCTCTGGCTTTCAAAAAATCTCCGTTTCTGTAATAGGCGTTGCCAAGATTACCGTACGCGCCTCCTTCTCCTGCCCTGTCTCCCACTTCTTTCGAAATTTTGAGGTCTTGTTCATGGTACTCTATGGCTTTCTGGAAATCTCCAAGACTACAATAGGCGTTGCCAAGATTACCGTACGCTCTTCCTTTTTTTGCTTTATTTCCCACCTCGGTGGCAATGTTGAGTTCCCGTTCATGGTACTCTATGGCTTTCTGGAAATCTCCAAGCCTGCGATAGGCGTCGCCAAGATTTCCGTACGCTTGTCCTTCTCCAGCCTTATCTCCTACTTCTCTGGCAATTTTGAGGTCTCGCTCACTGTATTCTTTGGCTTTCTGGAAATCTCCAAACATGCGGTAGGCGTTGCCGAGATTACAGTACGCTTTTCCTTCTCCTGCCCTATCTCCTACTTCTCTGGTAATTTTGAGGTGTTGTTCATGGTACTCGATAGCTTTCTGGAAATCTCCAAGGCCGTCATAGGCGTTTCCAAGATTACACGACGCTCTTCCCTCTCCTTCCCTGTCTCCCATTTCTCTGGCAATTTTGAGGTCACATTCATTGCAGTCTATAGCTTTATGGAAATCTCCAAGACTGTAATAGGCGTTGCCAAGATTACCGTACGCTTTTCCTTCTCCTGCCCTGTCTTCCAATTCTGTGGCAATTTTGCAGTGCTTTTCGTAGTAACCTTTAGCTTTCTGGAAATATCCAAGACTGTAATACGCGTTGCCAAGATTACAGTACGCTCTTCCCTCTCCTGCCCTGTTTCCCACTTCTTTGAAACTATTGAGGCCTCGTTCATGGTACTCTATGGCTCTTTGGAAATCTCCAACCTCGTAATAGGCAATACCAAGACAATTGAAGACTTTTCCTTCTTCTTTCGTGCCTCTCACTTCTATGTCAATTTTGAGGTATCGTTCATAGTAGTCTATGGCTTTCTGATAATCTTCATGAAGGTAATAAGCGTTACCAAGATGACAGTAGATTCTACCCTCGACTGCCATGTTTCCCATTTCTCTGGCAATTTTGAGTTGTATGTCAAGGTGGTCTACGGCTTTTTGGAAATCTTTTTTGTTAACAGAGGTGTTGTCAATATTACCATACGCCTTTCCTTCCTTTCTAGTGTTTCTAAATTCTTCGGAAATTTTGCTGGCCCTACTAGGATTACTGCTTGCCTCTTCTTGTCCTTTCTCCGCCATTTTAATGAAAACATGCAGATACAAACTAATTCTTTTCCAGAGGATAGTCAGTTGGGGTTGGAAACACAACTTCTTTCAGCTCTCTGTCACACTTTTAATTTCAGCTCTTCTAAAAAAGTATAAACACGATGTATGTAATCATTCTACCGTTGATGCAAATTTTCACTTTCTTGGTATGGTGATGTAAACAGATGGTTTTTTTTGGCAACTACGTCAGAATTCTATCTAGGGCAATTGAGGGGTAAAAGCTTCCCCCCTCCCCCCACAAAAAAACTATATTGGAAAAATCATCCAGACTTGACGAGGTCAATGCACATGAAGTAAGTATTCTCTGTCTAAGACACTATATGACAAGGAACGCGATCACAACTAAAAAATAAAATTAATACCACTGTAACATTTCTCAAAATTGTGTATAAAAATGCACCAGATTGCATCTCAGCGCATGTTCATTTCAAAACATTTCCCGGGGGTATGCCCCCGGATTCCCTTAGGAAGCTAGTGGCCTTCAGCCACTCGGAACTTCTCTCCCAAACGATAAATCCCAGATAGAACCCTGACGGAGGATATTTTTTGGATGTACGCACAATTGCTTTCTAAAAGAAAGAAAAGCAAAAAAACGCAGGTTGTATGATCATCAGTACACTTATAGTGACAGGAACAATAACCCAATTATTATCAGTATACTGTTAACACAATAACACATATGCTTTCATAGCATAGTTTGCTTGTACATTAGTGAGCGTCTTGAGCTAAAAGAGGTTTCCCATCTTTGCCCCCACTTTCCCATCAAATCAAACGTGTCAGCTCTTTCATAAGGAACATTTATATTCAATAGCGCAGAAGTCGTTACGTCACGTTTGCATGGTAGCAAAATTTTTGGACGAGAACAAACCAAAAAGCCATCACTTAAAAGTTGAACTAGCACTACTGTTTCAAACTTAATCGATCTTATTCAGTTAAATGTTGGCGAAATTCTCTGGTGTTGAATCCGAAAGTGCCGTATCTGAGTTTAGAAAAAGAAAAAGAACATTTTTGTACTGTGTTCACCAAATCCATACAGTGGGCGCGTGAAATTAGGAATTTCCATATCAGAAGAAAAAAGCGTGACGCACGTGCAAAGTTGTTGTTTTGTTAATATAAACCTATCATTCTTTTTTGCCATTCTTGTTATTGTTGCCGTTGTCCTTGCTTGCCTTAAGCTCTTTATTGTTGTGATCCAAAATTTTTGCTACCATGGCAACGTGATGTCACACTTCTCCTTTCCATTAGAATACAATTTTACAACTTATTCCTAGACTGCTTAATTTCTTGCTGACATCTTCAACTGTAATTTTTACAAGTAACAATGTCATGTTAGCAACTCAGTTTACAAACAGACCCATCGGTGAGTTACAAATAAAATAGGCACCACGAATCACCTCAGAAAACTATAACATATTTATATTAATGGAAACCTAAAAATAAGGGACCATTCATTATTTATTTCAAAGGGGGGGGGGGAAGGGGAAGGGTGAGAAAATGGGGGGAATTGAAATTTTAGCCACTGCAAAGGAGGGGGTCCTGAGGTGGACTTTTTGTATTCAGGGGGGGCCTTGAAATTAAAGAGACAAAGTGTTAAATAAAAAGCAACAAGATATTTAAGTGTACTAATAAGAGCTGGGACGTACCCTAGATTTTGTGGCTGGGAGCCTTTGGGATCCCCATGATTCTTCTTAGAGCGGAGTCTTGCACAGTATTGTGGTGCAGTCATGGAGTATGATTTATAACTACAATTTCCTTATTTGATTCCCCAATTATACACAAGACTACTTTAATAGTGTCAAGCAAACATAAACTGAAACAGGCAAACACTGTATCACTGCACTGCAAAAGTATTAAACTGAAAAACTGTTACAGTTTTAACTCTAGTTTGTCAATGCACAGTGGATCCAAATTGATGAATTGTTTTGGTAAATAAAACCAAATAAGAGCATTTTTTCAGATGTTAATGCCACAATTTGTAATAATAGCTATCACAACAAAGCCTGGGGCGCTTTCCATTTAGCCAAAATTTCCGGTTTGTCATTCCGGAAAATTTCCAGTTCAAATGGAAAGGCCTTTTCCCTCCCAGGAATAGAGCCTCGTTTTGAGTCCTACACTTGACATTTCATTGGTTAATCGCTGACGAGGCGCAACAAAACATGGTCTTCATAATTCCTCCTCCACCTCATTGCCATCATATTAATTATAATGAAAATAATCATCATCATGATCATGATTGTCACCATCATCATCAGGACACCTTCATAGTCATTGTTATCACAATCACAATCAGAATCTGCTTGGCTGAAAGTAATTGGAAATTTGATTCAACTTTTATTCAAGGTGCAATTTTTTTGCTGCTCTGATTAGTGTGTGTGTAAGTGGGGGGAGGGGAGGGGGGTATTGAAATGCTCCCCTAGTAGAATAGGGGGGACTTGAAAATCCAGTTTTGTAAGGGGGGGGTCATGGAAAAAAAGGAAGATCTGTTAATTTCTCACCCATCCCCTCCAATAAATAATGAACGGTCCCTAATGGTATTAATTAAAATGACAACATCAATGGAATAACAAAGAGGTATAATTGACTAAATCACTCAGTAAAATAATGAACACACATTTTATTGGTGTTCTAGGGGCTTCTTAGCCTGTTCCAGGCATTCAGATAGTAGAGTGCGGTGGTAAGTTGGGGGCGAGTTAAGTTGTACACCCTCCCACGCTCTACTATCTGAACGCCTGGAACAGGCTAGGGGCTTCTTGTAATGGTGCTTAGTTAATTGAGCAAAATGCAATAATATTGCAAACATGCTGTGTAGAGCATTTCAAAAAATACATGGTTCCACAGACTGATTCAATAGCATTTAATTAGCATCTTTTAAAAAGTAACAGCTTAACTCCATAAAACAATAAATTGCACATGAGAACTTTCCTGGAAAATCAAGGTAGTAATTGCTGCATGAAATGCATTTGCTAAACTGGGAGGAATGAATGAGGCAATGACTGCGATATTTCTTTACCAACCTGTTTTTGTAAATGTGATTTGGTCTGGGAAGATTTATGGGAATTTGAATGCTTTGACAACGCTGTATTTCCATTGACCGTATATACAGTTCCTTGTTTGTTACGTAAGGAATAAAACTACCATTCAAAGCGTATACAGAATTCTTCTAGACAAATTGTTTGTATCAAGAACTATAAAATAACCGACGACAAAACTTTTCGACCATAAATAGGTGAAAGGGACAATCGAAGGCAACTGTTTAGAGGTTAACCGACTCAAATGATCACACACGGATAACTTATAGCCCATCCAAGCAATGACAAATGCTTCTACTCGCATGATGCAAGCATGATGAGTCGTTTAAATGATGATGACAGGATAATCGCCATTCAGCCAATGGTAATTTGCTTTTCCTGGGAAACGCAAGTTTAAATTGCTCCCAAGGATGTCTACAGACCGTCTATTTTCTTCTTCACGGGCGCTTGATGGACTTTGAAAAGTAAATAGAGGGTCTGTGAACAGGCTACCAACTTGTAAACACAGAACTTGAAAATCAACTTTCGTCACACTTGACTAAACACAGCACTCCAGCCAAACTTAGCTCGTCAAAACACAGGCGGCCCAAGCTCAATGTGCCATTTAAGCGATTTCCTTACAGTGGAAACTCGTGGTTAAGGGAAATCGCTTCAATCACAATGGATCGGTAAAATAACCACACAGCAAGCAAAAACAAGCAAAGTAAATATGGTAAGCTTTATTTTATTGAACATTCTAGCGAGTATTTATCGACTTGAGTCTTTTACCTGAATTCCCATACAAATCCTTTATATTCACCGCCATTTTAAATTACGCAATATGAAACTACATGTATTACTGATTAAACGCACACACTGAGCTTGGGCTGCCTGTGGTCAAAAGAACTAGCTTAGAACTTAATGTATACTGTTTGACATATTTCAAGTTTCTAAAACCTACAGGCTTTGCGTGCCCAATCTTGTCCCAAAAATGTCAACTTTGATACATTCCTGAGTGTCATGAATCCTTTACTTTGCGCTCCGCCAAAGTAATTAAGTCTCCACTCGTATCATTACATAATTACTTTGTAGGGTATATAAGAGGAGATATGAAGGGGGGGGGTTCATCACATAAATATTGAATAAAGAAGCAATCGTTCAGATAGTGGAGAGCGGAGCGAAGTAAAGAAAGCAATGAAAAGTAGAGGGGAACTGGGGAGAGAGGTGCGGGAACGCTTGTAAGAATTTTTAACAAAAGTGCGTTCCGGTATACCAGATCCTGGTATACCCTCTGATTGGTTGATTTTGACAGTTTTTGTCAACAGTGAAGCATCTTCGATCACAGCGAGAAATAGGATATGGCGGTGATGACAGACTCTACGTCCCGTCACGCCGAATTCGAACTCACAACAAACACAGCGCTGAGAGACTTTCCAAACGTGGAGGCTAAATGCGAAGAGCAAAGGAACAGTTTAAAACTCGTAGTCAGCAGGATAGATGTCTTCGCAATTTCACCGACTAGCTTTGGAAAAAGACTTATTTTCCAGCTTTGTCCTCGAATAAAGCGTGCGTTGGAATGAAGGCAGGATAGAATGCCATTTATGATTGTTGTCGTAACTCCGTTGATTGCCATCATGAAAGACCAAGTGGAACATTTGCAAAAAATCGGAGTAGCGGCGGCAATGATGGGAGAAGATGTGGATGAAGCCGTTAAAAAAAGCTGTGAAATTGTATGATCCTTAAAAATTCACTCAAAGGTGACTGCAGTCACAAATCGTGGTTGTCTAAGGAATGGACAAAAGGACTTCAAAAGGAAAGCTTGGAAAGCAAGTTGCAGCTATCGCTATTGACGAGGTCCACTCAATCACCGAATAGTAAATTTTCCCTTCGTTTGTTGGGCATTTTCATTGCTCGAGTTAACGATCTGTATTGAAACGGCTTTCTATTGAAATGAGCAATATTTGT